TTTCCCTCATATAATTCTTCTCTTCTTTTAACCAAATGTATAGTTAATTTTTTTAGCTTATATTTTTTTTTTTGTTAACTTATGAATTAACAATAAAACTTTTTATTTAATAGATAATATTTTAAATAGAATAATATTATATTTTTAATTATATTGTTCATTTAAAAAATAATTTGTGAGAGCATTAAGAAGTAAACTGAATAAAGATTAAAAAGTAGAATTTAGCTTAATTATAATTAAAAACAAGAATTTATGTCATAAAATATACTTAATAAAATACCTCACCAAGTACCACGCACTCTTCACTCATTTGTTCGCTGCTGCTGCAAAGAGGTACGCTTCTGTGGCGCAACACAACCATGTCTATGATTTGCATATTGTAATTGTTTTCTCTCGTTTTTGCTAACAATAATTGCTTCCTTCCACAGACACTCTCTGCAGACTGCACTATTCCTAATTCCCTCTGTTTTGATTTCGATTATTAATTATTAGTTTGATCGTGACAGAGAAGGATTGGTTTCATTGAGCTTGAAAGCAAGTAAGTGTTGCAAATCGACACTTACTTTGTTTTCTAAACTAAAATTTCCTTAAAAATGTTATCTTTCGCTAGAAATTGCTTCAAATATCCTGGTACCTACTTCACGAGGAATGTTTCAAATCAAAATATACTCTCCACAAACTCATTTCGCCACAAATTTCCTGAGCTCGATAATACTTTTGGGAAAAATTTACACAAGATAGGTTTCTTTCACCATACCCACAAATTTCACTCATTTATATTCCAAATCAGCACTAATTACACTCATTTTCCGGTCCCATTTGCACCATTTATTTCTCAATATTCAACCAAGGCTCCTTCAAGATCTTATAGAAGACGGGCTCGGAAGAGGTTGTTAAAGGCCTCCAAGCCTACCCTAGACCAAGCCCAATTTCAGTTGGTACTGTCCCAACTTCCCCCAAGGTTCACTCCTCAAGAACTATGCAATGTGATTACTCAACAAGATGACCCCTTAGTTTGCTTAGAATTGTTTCACTGGGCGTCTCAGCAGCCCCGGTTTCGGCACGATGAGTCCACATTTCATGTTGCCATAAAGAAGCTTGGTGCTGCACAGATGTACCAAGAGATGGATGACATTGTGAACCAATTGCTTGCGGTTCCGTTTATTGGTTCAGAGGCATTGTTCAACACGGTTATATATTATTTCACTCAGGCGCGGAAGTTGACTAGAGCTGTCCATGTGTTTAAGCACATGAAAAGTGGTAGGAATTTGAATTGCTGTTTTAGGCCTTCTCTTAGGACCTATAATATTCTTTTTGCGGCATTTTTGGGTAGAGGAAGCAACTCCTATATAAACCATGTGTATATGGAAACAATTAGGTGTTTGTTCAGGCAAATGGTCAATGATGGGATCAAGCCTGATATTTTTTCATTGAACACTATGATCAAAGGTTATGTGCTATCTCTTCATGTCAATGATGCATTGAGGATATTTCATCAGATGGGTGTGATCTATGATTGTCAGCCCAACGCTTTAACATATGATTGCTTGATTCACGGCTTGTGTGCACAAGGCAGAACAAATAATGCCAAAGAATTATGTTGTGAAATGAAGACCAAAGGCTTTGTTCCTAGTAGTAAATCATATAATTCGCTTGTCAATTCTTTGGCACTTGGTGGAGAGATTGAGGAGGCAGTAAATTATCTGTGGGAGATGACTGATAAGCAAAGGTCGGTTGATTTTATTACATATAGGACTGTACTGGATGAGATATGTAGACAAGGAACAATTCAGGAGGGCATGAGGTTTTTGCAGGAGTTGCAAGAAAAGGACCTTGTAGATGGGCATGCATACAGGAAGCTTCTATATGTGCTTGAAGATGACTATGGGAATTCAGTAAGCAATGTGGGAAATCGGTGAGCAGAATTGGTTCAGGTACTGCAGTTTCCCATTCTTTTATCACTATAGTTGGCTGTTTCTTTAGTTTGATAGAGAAGAGTTATATTTACAATTTTACATGCTATATGCAAAGCTTCATAATGTTGAGTGACGCAGGCGACAATTTTGCTAGTTTAGGGTTTAAGATTTAGGATACTAAAATTGTTGTCGGCATCACTTGATATCACATCACATCTACAGTATGGCACATCCTAACCAAAGGACAAGGGCTTTATGTGCCTATTAACAGCGGGTTTATAATTTCTTGGGTTGTTTGACCAACTTTCTGCCTAATTCCTATCATCTCTATTCCCTTCCACAAACACCTTGCCCTCTTCGTGAGCTGTTGGATGATAGGAAAGAGGCTGGTCAAATAGTCCCAGAAGCTGAACATGCTGAGACTAATGTTGAATTGTTGACAATCAAGGCCTGAATCAAGTGCCTCAGAAGCTGAAAATGCTGAGGCTAATGTTGACAATCATGGATTGGATCAAGTGCCTCAAATCAGAGTCAAACAAAATAGGCTGAGGCCCTAATGGATGAAGGATTATGGATTACTTTAGACTGTTTTAATGGTGAATTTGGAATAGAAGATATTGTTTGTTAGGAGTTGCTGGGGTTGAGTTTTGAAAGGAGTTTGTTTTGTTGGTTATTTTGTATTGTTATATTCTGTTTCTTTGCTTGTCTCTGAGTTGCATTTTATGTTTGAGAGGTTATGCTTATATGGGTGATGCAATGTATGGAGAAACTTGTGAATGAGAATATTCATTTTTTCTTCCATTTATATGCTACACTTTTGTTCTTAGGAGTCTCCTCCCCTCAAAAGAGAGTTCGCTTTTTTCCCTATCAGATGCTGCCTTCTTGGTCAGGACAGAAAATTGACCTTGCATAGTATTGTTGAAGAAGAACACGGGTTGTGTGACCAAATCCTCTGTGGTTGCCATCAAATAAAAGATGGGATTCTCATGGCTGCTAATATGGGAGGTCAAATGCAAATTCAACTCTCATCCCTATTTTTTCATATTTCACTTTTATAGTGTACATAATAAAACTTTTTTTTTGGTTGTTGATTGCATATTGAGTATGCATATGAACAGTCCAATCAGTATTTACTGTCCAAAATCCAATTGAGAAATTGTTTAGTTAGTTTATTTGGTGGAATTGTGTTCTTCATTGTTGTTTTTTCTTTACAATTTTTTTGTTTAAAGAAACAAATATGTGCCTTCGTTTATGTTGAATGATGTAGTTTTAGTAAATTGTGATTTATGTTTCTGAATTGTCAATGTCAGCTACGTGCTGTGCAGTTCATTGCCCATTAGTGGCCTCACTCTATGATTTATTTAAATGATGGTTACACTAATAGGTTCGTATGGGTCTACCATGCGATACAAGAGTGTTGAGCGTGTAAAGCCCATTGGGAAACATTCCCTTCTTGGTGCCAGTGGGGAAAGATTCTGCTCTACCTCGACAAGCTTATGTAAGCCTCGGGTATTTCTGATAAGATGAGGATAGGAGAATCTGTTTAGTTAATTGCTATGCATTTGCTTTTGTTTCCTTTGCTTGATTCATTTTATTTTAGACTTCTAGCGTGTTTGTATACACGTTGGAAACGTGGAAAACCACGTTTAACGTGGAAGTTATTAATAATAGCTTCCACGTTAAACGTGGTTTTTCACGTTTCCAACGTGCATACAAACACGCTCTTCATGGAAACTTCAGAATTGATTGCTTCGGTTCAATGTTCCCTTGTAACTCTTGATTTTGAATTTTGACTGATGCAGTCTGAATGACAATATGTGGGATGATGGGAATTCTTTAGGGCCTAAGGAGTTGCACAACTGTTTAACTCAAGTTATGTGGAACTCCCTTGTTCTTGGTGGTGTGAAGAATGGATAAAAGTACCTTGGCAGGGTATGCCTTTTTCATTTAGTTCAACAGTGAGTGGCCTGCAAGTTTACTCAGTTTTTGTGCTAAGGAATCTTATTCAGGTTACCATGATTGGTATTAATTTTGAAGACAATCATATAGCTACTGTGGGAAATAATCGTGCTAGGCCAATTCTCCGTGAATGAGTGGCATGAAAGTTTGACCGTTGAAGAAGGCATCAAGTTGCTGGAAAAATGTATGCGTGTGCTTCTACATCGGAATAGATCTGCTGTCAACAAGATATAGGTTATGGATCTTCTTAGTCCAGCCAAATAAGATTATTATGAACAACAAAATTAATCTTATGAATATTTAATGTAACTACTAGTTAAGCTATTACAAACCTGTATTGATTAATCCACATATTTGATATTTTAATCTTCTTATGTTAGTTAGAAACATGACAATATTTACAAGAGAAAAAATATTAAATAATTATGGTAAGATCTAGCATTATTTATGTAAATTCCATTAATTAATTTTTATGTCTTTTACTTTTATGATATGACATTGTATTTTTTTTTTTATTAACATGAGAAGATTTTTAACCCTTAAACCTAAAGTCAAGATGCATGAGAATTTAGGTTTGTTTTCATTGTTATAAACTTTTCTATTGATAAAAAACCCTAAATTCAAGATAGAGCATTTTACAAAGTTTTTAGTGAACTTACCTTCAAGTGTGAAATTGAAATAACGAAAATTAACATATAACAACCTTGCCTGGATTTTAGATAACTATCAATTTATAATTTATTTTTTATGAAATTGGATTGGTTTTGTTCGATCTACATCTAGTTTTAAATATGTTATAATTTTAGAATATTAAAATTTAAGAAAAACTTTATGTACAATTATTTTCTAAGCATTTTTAGTATTATTTTCTAATTAAAATTTGAATATTATGTCAATACTTTATACTAACTTTTAATATAAATCTTTATTACACACTATAAAACCAAAATTTCAATTTTAAAAATAGCACAAAAAATACTTAAGAAATTACATCTTAATTTTATCTTACAATTTATAAACAAATATATTCTTATCAAGTAAGATAATCTTTATTTAGAATCAATGAAAAAAGGTACTCTGTGTCAGCATTTGAGAAATAAAAAAAATACGTAAGTAACTATAGATAATTTACAATAGTTAAAAGATAAATATGTCAAAGATGTGAGAAGTCAAATACATATATAGTCAGTAGGCAGTTATTTTTCTTCTAAACTTTTGAAATGAATAATTTTAAAAAAAATTCAGATATAGGTAAGTCATGTTTATGAAACATGACATTAAACGCTAAACTCATATCAAAAATCGACTTCTGGGTGATTTTTTTAAAATTAAAATTAACCATTTAAACACGATATTTTTTAAGTGTGCTTCATTACATTATTACAGTTTTTTTTTTCCTTTGATAGAAGAGATTTTTATTTTTGCAAAATTTTAATTAATTGAAATTAAAGTGCTGGGGTAGCGGAATTAATGAAACGAGAATAGAATAACCCCTTTCGCGTAGAAGATTCAGATTCAAACAGTGAAAGCACAATTGTACATGCTTTTCTTTTCTCTCACTAAATTAACCTAACAATAGACCTCGAGTTGCACGCGGTGCAGCTTAGAGAAAATTAAATCTAATTAAAACTAAAGAAATTAAGTTGAAAATACACGAGAATACCCTTCATGACTTCTAAGCACCACTTTCTTAGGGGCGTGTATTGGATTAGGATTTTAAAGGACTTTTTTAGTTTTTATGTGTCTCAATAAAGACATGTATCTATACCATATGTCTAACAACTTAACAACTAAATCAACTATAGCATCATACAACTATACAACATCATCATCTATCAACTTACAACTTAACAACATAAACATCATTAAATAGTTTATCAACTCAAAACATAATGAGTATCATCATACCATCTTCATCATACAATTTAATCATCATCATTTAATCATAAAACAACTTAAAACTTCATATTATAATCAAGCAACTTGTGCCCACCATCCCTTAGGTGCCTAGCACCATTAAGACAGAGGGTTTCCTTATGCTCGATATTATTCAAACCCATGCCCAATGTAACCAAGTTAGAGATGATTATCTTTCCTCACATTTGATACCACCAATCTTGCACCCAATGCTAAGAGAATGAAAACCCTTGACTTCAAACCATGCCCGATGTCATGAAGGCGTACCCAATGTGATACTAGTTTTTGCACTTATGTAGAAACTCGACTAGCCCAATCTACATGAAATTCAACCAAAATCCAACATGCATTACAACATACAACATCTACACAACATGTAAAACACAATTTCATCCTCAGAAACAACATGCATCTATCAAAATCCAAGAATCAACACATTATACTCAAAACACCTTCAATTAACTCAACTATAACCAAATTATCACCCTCATGAATCCAATAAATATCAACTACACTTAAGTGATTATGGGCAATAGTAAACACCATGCATCAACAATTGTTCAAAAATACAAAGTTTTCCTTACTTTTTGTCGACCCAAACTGAGAAGAGAAAAAGATAAGAAATGAACTTCGTACAACCTCTGACTTGAGATTTCCAACTCTTGAAGCTTGAAATCTCCATCTTGCCAAGTGAATTGGCTACAAGAAGGACGAAAGGAAAGACTTTCAGTTTAGAAGAAGGATAAAAAAGTTTGAGTTCAAAGAACTTCTCTCCAATTTCTCTATGAAATTTCATAAAATATGAACTTACGAGGTTCACATCTTAAGAAAAATCTTATATATCCTTTTTGGGGTTGAACTGACTTAACTCTGCATCCACTACCACAATGATAATTTAACTCTTAGAGTCCTTTAACTCAAAAGTTCTCAAACAACAACACTACAACAACTTACAACTAATCATATAATTAAATTAAAAATATCTAAAACTCACAGTGTTACAATCTACTTTATACTCATATATGAATTGATTTTTCAAAAAATCAAATTGAATCAATCCTGACATGCACGAGGGTACTCCAGTAATTTTGCTACTCCTGCTGGGTCTTCGTCTTCCATGATGTATCCTAAGGAAAGAGAGGGGTACCTGAAAAAGGCACTCCAATGCTTAAGTCAGTCCTCAGTCTCAGAGATATCAATGCTAATTAACTGGTAATTATGAAAACGTACCTTTATAATCAGTCGTTGATTACACTTATTTATACTAACCTTAATGGATTTAGGCTCATAACCAAGCCCATTAGGATCCAATAATCTTGGTATGTGTAGAGTGATTTAGACTCAACTTAACAACTAAATCAACTATAGCATCATACAACTATACAACATCATCATCTATCAACTTACAACTTAACAACATAAACATCATTAAATAGTTTATCAACTCAAAACATAATGAGTATCATCATACCATTATGAGCAGCAGCAATATTAATAAAGAAAAGGATCTAGAATTTCCCATAGTTAAACAAACAAACGAAATTAAAGATATGAACATAACAATTAATTAACTAAAGAGAAGGCAACTTAACTTAGAAACACGGGAATATAGATACATATAATAGAGTCTAGAAAGAGTGATGCTATGCAGCTTTTGCAGTTAAATGAAGGTGAGTGTAGAACAAATGATGGATGATGAGGTCATCTAGATCAGCCATGAACATGATCTCATAGTTTCTCCTTTGCAATTGATCATTTGCATTTGCATGCATAGCCACTGATCTTTGCATCTTCATGGCCTTCCTCCTACGCTCATGATCTTCCATCCTACATGAATTATTAATTAAGATCATCAACTAGCTAGACAAATAGAATAAAAGAAAAAAAAGAAAGTGAGAGAGAGAGAAGATACTCCTTAGCAAGAGCAAGAGGGTTGGTAATTCCAGAGACACAAAGTGGAACACCATGAGTAGCACACAGGTTCACCATCGGTTGCATTTTTTGCTTTGATTTCAGGGAAAACAAGTGGAAATGGATACAAAAGAAAAGAGAAGAGAAATAATAAATAAGTGTGGACTCTTTATTTATTTTTGTGACGTCTCTCACTCTCGTCCTATCCACCCACTTTTTTTTTATGCCAAAAAGGGTCACAACGTAAATCTAGTTATTATTATTATTATTATTTGTCAAAAATAAGATGTATATGTTTGTTTGGTTGGCTTATAAATCAAACGTGACAAATGTCAAAATCTTAGTGTTTTACTTTAATTATTTATTAAGGAGTTTATTGATTTATTTCTCTGTTTAAATATTTAAGAATTCATTAATATTATTATATTTTAATTGTGATTTTATTTTTATTTTTAATATTTTATTATTGATAAAATGAGAAATATAACAGCGATGATTATTTTTTAAGTTAGTACTTTATTGTTTTGTCCTTAACTAATCCAACTGGGTTAATAATTAAATATTTTTAATATTATATAATATAATAAATATTAAATTGATATGAATTATTTAACTTAAGAGAAATTAATGTAAAAACCATATTATATAAATGTTAAACAATTTTGCATTAACTTGAAAATAATCCTTACTACAGCCTGAAGACAATCTTATTTGGTGAAAGTATAGATGTGGGAATGAGATTGATGAATAGTATGATTATTACTATTATGTTTTTTCAGCACAGAAATTTCGATGCAGCTTCTAATTAAGATAAGGTCTCTACACTCTGGACACAGCACAAAAGACAGAAGAGAAAAAAACACGTGCACTGTTTCTCCATTTAACATTCACTCTACTCACGTACCAACATACATGTGAATCCAAATGGAACAATACCCCACAAATATTGCTACTGAATTATCAAACTTTTTGTTGGCAGTTAATTTTATCATAATTAGGAGCAGATCATGCAATATTATTTTTTTCCCCAATGGCTCAAATATATATAAAGATTAAAATTAAAATCTATTTGACAATTTTTTTCTATTTTCTTTTTAAATTATAGGTATTTTTTTTATGAGGGATTATGTGTTTGAGATGTGACTATTGATTCGGATGAAATTGACCAAAATATACTTGTGTAAACTGAAGTTTGAGATCTCCTAATGATATTGGAACTCAAGTATAGAGCCAAATCCAATGTTACAAATGTCAATTAGTCTATATTTTTTTATTTGCCTAAATTTTCTCTTTACAATATATATTCCAGTTCAAACTCAAGCACACCGAATAAATTGGATTGGACCTACAAAATAATATCGTTTATTTAACTGGTTCAGTTGCAGCCTTTAACACGAGAAAATTTGTATTTATATATTTTTTTATTCAACAAAATATATAATGAAAAGAAAAAAGAATGTTAGATAAAATGATTAGTGAAAATAAAAAGTGTCAGAAATATTATAAAAAGTGTTCTATAAATAACATATCTCTGAAAACAATCATATTATCCGGCGCAATGCAATTTCAGCCTTTAAATAAATCAAAGTTAAACTTTCAATTAATCCATTAGAGCACAAGCATTTCAGTAGAGGAATGATTATGCCATATTCTATGATTCCGAAGACACAAGACACATTCACAGAACAAAAGGAAGAACCAAAACATACATAAATATTCTTTAAACCCCACAATCAATTCGAGGTTGACTATTACCTATTATTCATTGGAGAATGTCTGCTAATTCACCATCTCTTAACAGTAATTAACTCATTAAAATTTATCACATTCACATATATCACTTTTTTTATCTGTACACAAAATGTCCATCAACACAAAAGCAAAAGTAGCTCTTTCAATGAAGAAAGCAGAGACATGAACGAATTCAATGCAGAAAGAAAGCAGATCTTATTAACTCAAGAAAATTCAAGAACACAACATCTCAACCAAATAAAAAGAACTTAAAAACTCAAAACAGAATTTCACTACACACTAGCACTACCAAATAAGCATGTTCCAAATCAAATGAAATTCTACTAAAAAACATTCATAACCACATTATTGAAAAAACTTCTAAGTTCTGATTCCCTTTGGACTCATGTGCACCTTCTTCATCTTCCCTGCATTTTCTGGTGGTGCAGCCCATGTTGATGGAAGTATCACAGCCTCATGCTGAGCATCAAGGGCTCGCCGCAGTGTGCCCTCGCTGACACCGAAAGCCGCCGCAAGCTCCGGCCCCATCAAGGTCCTAAGAAGGGACATAGAACCAGCCAGAAACTGTGGATTGTTCTTCCTGGATGAGGTGGAGAAGCCAAAGAACTCTAAGGGTCCATCCCTTGATGCTATTTGACAGAAGGGGAAGTATCTTGGCACCACAAACACGTCCCCTGCTTTGATTTGAATGTTCATTGCATTGCTTCCGTTTGGAAACACTAATTGAAATTTACCATAACCTCTCAGCACTATGCAATACTCAGCTGCTCTTGGATTTACATGAGGTGACAACATGGATCCCTGTGCATGAAAAATGGATGTCACAAAGTGACAATTTTCATGAATTGTTAGGACAAAACTTACTGTAAGTCTGTAAGGATATGTGTTATCTAAATAATTGGCATTATCCAAATTAATTCAATTTGCAGTGCAATAATCGAGTGTCGAGGAGTTTATTGGTCATGTTTGATAGTGCAAAAATCAATCAGAAGTTACCCTCTGATAGTGTAAATCAGTTTTAGATCATCAGTCAATCAAAAATAAAAAATCACTGCTAGTATAACTTGCAATGTAGTTATAATAAGAAATTACTACCGTATAACTTGTAAGGTATATATTGTAAAAGTCAATAAGCTTAAAATATATGATGATTAGTGACTAGATGAAAGTATATAAGTATTTTATACAATCAACGTGTCCTACTTTCTCGTATTCAAATGGAGAAAAGTTAGATACGGTTCTATAGTTGGATACTTTTGAAGCTATTATCTAATCAGAATTGGATTTTACTTCGATAATCTATATTGATCTCTAATACAAATCTTTATTATGCTAATTAAACTTCAATTCTAATTAGAGAGGAATTGCATACATGTTTTGCCCCATTCAAATGCTAAACTAAACTAAAATTGGAAATTCATCTTGGTAACAATGTCAATTTCCATTGGATAAAAGTACTTATTTGTAAATTTTGTTCAAGTTTTGCACATAAATATTGAAGGACTTGTTTTCTTACCGCAGTGAGGTTGACATGAAAAATTCCAACGTCAGGTTTTCTGAGTTGATGATAGTCGTCTCCATGCAGTGTCTTGCTCCAACCATAAGCGTTACTGAAATCAGGTTTTTTGTCATAGAGGTTGTGAGAGTCAGGGGGACCATTAGTGTCTTTGTTCCTTGCCTTCTCATTCACCTTCCCAAATACAGTTTCCAAGAGCTTCCTCCATAGCTTAGTTGTTTTCTTCTCTTCATCACCACCATCAACATCATCTTCTTCTTCTTCTTGGTCTTGCACCATTTTCTTCATGTGTTGCACTTTGTCTTCGTTCTTCAGTTGAAGAAATTTAGTCCACAAGCTAGGTGCATGAGAATCACCCACGTACACAAATGGCCCATCTAGTTTTGCGGAGAAGATTTGCTCTATCTCTGTTCTTGATTCCTACAGTTATAATTAATAAAAGAAATTTGTTAGTGTTTTTTGTGTATAGTGCTAGTTTTATAACTTACGGTGAAAAACTTTACACTATCATCAATGTATAATAAGTTTTATAACTTTTATAGTAGAAAAATAGGTTATGTACTTTATTTACACAGTGACAATTGGTTTAAAAGATATAGTAAGTGATTTCTGATTGGTTAAAAGTGTAAAACTATTGATATACCACTAATCCCTTTGCAATAACCTTAAAAGTCATTCCATCAAGAATGATTTCTGCTCAATGAAAGTATAAAGAATGATTTTCTGATCAATGAGAGTATAAACAATGATTTCTGATTCAATGAAAGTATAAAGAACATTTACATTGTTCCTGCATCACAATTAAACTTGTCACTATATTAGCTTACGTTAAATGCAGTTTCAAGGATCACAGATTCGAATCCAGAAAGCACCGAGTGTGATTTGGCTCCTCCTCCAATATAGAAGGACTGCATGGTGAAGGTAAAATTGAAGAATGTCAAACCTTAGTCACAAAGTGGCACAACTCCGAAATAATAAATGATAATAAAGTGAAAGATGTTAAATTATAATGGATGGATGCATGTACCTGGAAGGTATCTAGTCCCAAGTGTGTAGAGGGGTCAATGCTGCAAATGATGTTAAGTCTCTGACCTTCCCCAATATTCACCAAATAAAATGCTGAACCCGCTGGAATCACATATACATCCCCTGTCTTCAACTTCTTTTCTGCTAGTTCATCATCATATATGAATCCCAACTTTGCTTCCCCTGAAACCAATTTCAAACATAACTCAATTTCTCTAATCAGCTAAAATTTAATAGATCTATTCAAATAGTTTTAGAACAGATAACGTAAAAATCAAAAAGCTTATTATTATATGTGATATCACCCACATATCAGTAATGACATGACACTGTTTTTTTCAGATATTATTATTTTAAATTAAAAACATATCATCATATAATCAGTTAAAAAACAATTAAAAACCAGCATCACAGCTCTTACGATAATTATGATCGATATCAGTAAAAAAAAAATGGCACTTTTCAAAAATAGATATAGTAATCCATGAGTTTACTTTTATAATATGACAGGCTAAACCCTAAACCCAAAACCCAAACCCCAAACCCCAAACCCGTCCGTAACCCGTCTTTGGTATATTTAAAAGGTTCAATCTAAAGATTGAGATAAATGTTCAAATTAAAAAAGTGTTAAGCCTGAACTTTCAAGTAATTCTTTCCTATGTCTCTAGGATTATATTTAAACATTTAATCTAAAGATTGAGATAAATGTTCAAATTAAAAAAGAGTGTTAAGCCTAAACTTTCAAGTAATTCTTTCCTATGTCTCTAGGATTATATTTAAACATTTAATCTAAAGATTGAGATAAATGTTCAAACTAAAAAAGAGTGTTAAGATATATATATTCATACATTTACCTTTTACTTTCTTTATATGAAAGGTTATGATTAGATGATAATTAGTATATGTGATAATGTAATATTGATGATTAATCTATTTTCTCTCCCAATCTAATCTTATGGGCTTAATTAAAATAGCTAGACTAGTTATGATATGACAGTACATATCCTCAAGACATTCTAATAATATGTACTTTAAAGATGATATTATCACACTAACCTTGCATCAAAATTTCAAAATTAAATCCATCTCAAACTTATGGTTAGATTACATAAGAGGGGTTGTCAGTTGGTGTTTCACATGTTTCCAGCTCTGCAATTTATCGCCATCTTTTGTATTCAGGGTCTTTTTTTATTTCTAGTTCCTTGCTTGCATGCTTGTGTTATTATGATTTAGCATGAAAAGTGAGGGAATTGAAAAGATGGCAATACCTCTACGGATAAATATGATGAGATTAGAATCAAGGTACTGAGGAACGAACAAGGTCTTGGGTTCCATAGTGATGAAACCAATGTGCATGCGCCTATCCAAAATCACATCCCTATGGCTTTTCAGTACTCTCATTTCACCAAACTCAGTCTCCACCACTATCTTGGAGTTGTGCATCATGAACAAATTGTTTGATGACTCTTCATCTTCAAGGAGGGCCATTGTTAAGGCCACTCCATGGCAGAGAACAAAGAGAAAGAGCAAAAGGGTGGTTCTGTTTGCCATGAATGTGTGTTGATGGCACATGCAATTGATGAAGATTGAAGATGAAAGAAAATGTGGTGGTTTATGAAGGGATTGTGAAGAGAACATAGAGAGACACGTGGCATGCATGTAGAGCTTGGAGGGTTTGCTGGCGATGTTATGTGTAGACATGTTGAGGTTGTGAGAAACATCGGATAAAGGACTAACACATACAGAAAGCCTGCTCGAAATTTTCTAACTATCTTGTCTTTCACTTTGTGGAATTTTTCTGCTTTCTGTGCATAATAAACAAACAAACAAATTATACAACATTTTTCTTCTATTATTCTTTGTAGTTAATAATTATAGTAATAAATAGTAAATAATATGAAATAAAAATAAATAAATAAACTTAACAACTAATTAATATATATGTATTATTAACTCTCGATGAAAACTGATGCACAATAACATGTTAATCCATTAAAATGGATTTATTTTTCAAAATAGAAAATGAAAAATTGTTTAAAATTTGGAAAATAAAAAAGAATATATTTTAAAAGATTATAAATATATTTAATTCTATTATAAAAGTTGTACATGATAGCGACAATTTAATTTTTCGTTGCGTACACGGAAAATATTTTGTTATAAAAGACAAAATTTATTTAACCCCGTCAACTTAAGAAATATACTAGACGAAAAATATTTTGTTATAAAATACCAAAAAGAGACGAACAATTTTAATCTATTGACATGATGCTGTTGGAGTTGGATTTAATAGATTAATTTACTGTAAAATAGAAATTCTATTACGTTTATTATCTTACCTTCTTCGAACAGAAAATTATTTTCTATAAAGTATACTTGTGAAAAATATAACTATTTACATGAGGTTTGATAATTTTCAAATCTAATTTTAACAATTAATTTAAAAATCAATTAAATCACTCAATCGTATATATATATATATATAT